GCAGCACGTCTTCCAGATCTTCGGCGCCCAGATCCTTCTTTGTTTTGGTTGTGAGTTTTTCCTGTTACATTGTACTTCTGTACATTTTTGTAAACTGTTGCTCATGATGGACATCGTACATTTGGATATTCTTGACGAAACCTTTGCAGGACCTCTGCAAGACTCTGACTTCGATGGAAATCTCTTACCAAAAATGACCTTTGCTGGGGGGTGTACTGCGGTCTGACCATCTTGTTTCATTGATTTCAGCTCTAAAGAATGAGGGGTGGCACGGCCGGCCCTCCAATTTATGCCACTGCAAACATTCTGCAAATTTTGTCGTCCAGTGGTATGCAGAGAAATCAAACAAATGAACACCAAGTTGCCATTCTCATTACTTGTGCAAGCAACGTTTATGCGGGGATTTGTAGGTGGGAAGAGACGAAGTTAAAACAAACCTTCCAAGATACTCCAAGGAACAAAGCAAATACCATACTTGCTTTTCTGGACTTTTGATCCAATTCTGAACAAAGTGAACAAGTGTTTGCGCAAGCCAATTTTTGAGCAATTTAGAAAAAAAGCTCCTGGTCACTTAGGCATGAAAGTCTGACAAGTTCATGACAGCATGATGCTCCGATCAACCCATGCAGGAGAAGAGATTTTCAGAAAATGTTCACATTTTTATTTTGCAGTTAATTTTCTGACTGTATAATTTGTTTTGATACACCCTGTATGAGGAAGTTTGTAGTTTACTCTGTACCTCAGTATAGCCTCAAACCATTTCCTGAACTATTTACATTTTCGACGAGACAGTTTGATAACTGCGGATCAAGAATATTGGATGTCGTTGATTATTACTGAAGTCTTTAATAATTTTTCAGACCTATAGAAGCTAAGTTTCATTAGTTAACGTTTTCTGCACGAACTCTACGTAAAATGGTCACAAGCCAGAAAGAGGCCCAAACCTTAGTGCAAATTCAGGATTAAAATGAGGTTAGTTTGGTGTGAGGGGGCTACACACATTGTTTTGTTTCTTTAGGTTTGTTTATAGCATAATTGCCATATACACACTTTGTTAGTCTATCTTGTCATCGTGTTCCATAGATCATATTGGATTGCATTATTTTACTAAAAGTAACAACGAAACAAGAGGTTCGGTGTCTGTGTCTAACAGAGCATAGGGCTTTTCTGCATTTTTAAGTTTGAGAGAATGCAATCGGCACACCTGCAAACGATGACATATGCTGAAAAATGTGTCTATAAAAATGTACATGATGATATCATTATGGTGTTCTTATCAGTTTCACCTATGACACATCCCAGTCTACCTACATACAAAAATTAATATTGGGATCTACTTTTTTATTCAACCTTAAAATATTCACCTTGAAGATGACACTTTTAAAATGACACCTTTAAATGATGCCATATATACCCGTAACTAAGAGGTGACCTTTAATTTAAACCACCAGACCTCGTTGTTCCTACATATGTACCAAGCTTAAACCTTACCAGTATCAAAATTCTCTAGTTGTAGGACAGTTAAAAAGTATGCGCCTTTCAGATGGTGTCTCTCAACCCCTAGTGACCCTATTTTTACATTTCTTGAATTCTCATCTATAACATATCCTCGGCTATATGCATACACAAACTAAATCAAATCAGACTCATAATTCTCTAGTTATACAACATGAAGTTGTATCTCTATAAGATGATGTAATGTGACGTCTTAACGTAACCTGACTAATCACGCAAAATACGTCCACAAACATGTAAGAAATAAATCGAATAGGACTCAAACGTCCTGCAGCGTCAAAATTATCATGAGAAAGGTTACTCCTCATGACCTGTGATGATGTCATCGTGACTTAACCCAGCTTTCATTTATAACGCATCCTACTTTGAGAATGCCGAGTTTCATCCGAGTTGGACATTTGGCTCTGGAGATACTGGCCTGCAAATACAGCTTTGGATGAGTGTCACGTGACTTTTGCTGTTGCCGACTTGCTGTGGCGATCTCAACTCTTCCTAAGAAAAGTCACGCCTAATTAGTAATAGCCGTTCCTTTGTGTAACATACTGATGGAGAAGGATGGGAAAATGACAGGAGTCGCCCCGGTCAATCTGTTTTTATATAATATTAAAATCAATAATACATGACCTAATGAAGTCATCATTACATCACCTACATTTATCTCGAGCGAAAGTTCTATCAACCTTTCGTGGTGACTGTTTTATATTTAAACCGTCCTCTTTGGTGACGGTCACCGTTGACAAACTCGCCAACAATAATGATAAATATTCAGAAAGTACTAAAAATCAATGGATGAGGTTATGACAACCTATCTTTTCAAACATGAGTTGGGGCCCGACTATCTACGTACCCAAAGAATTTCATGTCGTCCGGACTTTTTCTAGTGTGTACAATATAAAAATCGTGTTTTTTGATGACGTCATCATGACGCCAACACATTTTCCAAATAACTCAAATATCCACTAAGCCTACTCGAGGTATTGCAAAAATCATTTGAATAAAACCTTGTTTTGTTCAGGAAATACGTCGAGAGGAAGGATACAAACTAAAAACTGACAAAAATCATAAGAAATCAGCTGATGATGTCATTATAACGTCCAAATTTTCGTCTACAACACAACTTGTTTCGTATTTGTACCAAGATGTACTCACAATCAGACGTATTGTTTTGGAGTTATAAGCTTCCAAAGAATTCAACTTTTAGGGCTTGTCACATGACAAGTGATGACGTCGTTATGACGACTGTCTTTGAGGACCATCCTTGGGTGATTGTCTGCTTATGTGCCAAGTTTGAAGTCAATCAGCTTTAGCAAAGTGCCAAAGTTGGTAGGTCAAAAATCGGTGCAAGTAAAAATCCGGAAATAACGTGTTAATGTAAAAAATAGGTCTTTTGTCTCAAAATTCAGCCTGGGTTGTTCAGTGTTTTTCAAACAAAGTATGGTGATCAAAAGCATGTCTTTTCGAATTCAATCAATACCAGCTTTTGTATTTTGAAAGGGGTTTCTAGCGCCGAAAAAGCATTTTGATGACGCCGGTCATGTTTCGGCCAGATCAAAATTGCCTCGAATCCAGTATCAGGTACACTGACGTGTACAACGGGATATTGCACAATCGAACATTTCTTACCCCCTTAACCCCCAATTTTCCTCAAAAAAGCAAAAGAAAAAACATGCAGTGTGTCTGTGGCACTATTTATTGATTTCACTAAGGCAAAACAAAGAGCTCACGAGATGACTTTGTTTGTGACCAGGTGGAAGGGTCCTATACACTTACCAATAGCGTCAACAGAACAAATAGAAAGACTTTTCCTAAGTGGAAAAGCCTAAAAGCTTAGCGACCCGACATATTATTTGTTGGGGAAATACAGATGGATTCGACCTCATAATTATTTCGACCAGTATGTAACATCTATAGGTCAAACAGACATTCAACTCTTCGGGAAATATATTGCAAGTAAGTCTTTATTCAGAAACTGTGAAATAAAAAATTGGTGACAAGACAGACTTCGGATCAGTTTGAAACTATTAAGTGCGTATTTGCTTTACTATTACGTGCCCATATGCTTTGCTCTATTTTAAGAATTTTACCTCATTGAGGCTGAATTATTTCGACGTTAGTCTGCATAGCTTTACAACGTTTTTATTAATGGCCATTCCAAAAACTGTATTATAGCAGGTTTGATACCGAAGTAATACGAATAGCAACGAATTGCGTCCTTTCAGTATGGCTGAAAATGATAATCCAACAATGATGATTTGACTTTGTTTTTTTGTCAACTAAAATCGTTAAAAGTACTTTTTGTTTACTTGTAAGGTTTTTAAGTTCAATTTTCAAATATCTGAATCTTCTGCTTATACCCGACAAGAATCTATTTACTGTTATTATATCGGTAAAATAGTATTGAGCTATTCTCTTGCTTTTTTCCTTTAGATATCTGCATCTATTCAGCATGTGTGCCATTTGAGCAATAACCGTAAAACTGAATAGTGTACACTTGAATAAATCGAATGTTCTTCTGTTTCACTGGCAATTTAAGATCTGACTTCAACCTTGTGTCGCCGAATAATTCACCTCCGACATAGATTCAGTTTGGTTGTTAGCTGTCCAATTTCTCTCCCAAGCTAAGACAAAAATGATCACCAAGGTTTAGGCTTAATGAAACAATACCAATTTTTTCCATATAATTATAATCGTTTAAGAAAGTAACAAATGTTTCGAAATAAATCTTGGACTACATGTAAAAACTTAAAAGAAAATAATAATGCAATCGTACGATGCAGTATTTTTGCCTGAATGAGACAAAACACCTTCTTTTTTGAGATGCAAGACTTCGGATTTGACTATTTACCCTGAAGCAGGGTGCTTCACAGTCGGTTAAACAATTATGGACCTAAAGTTTCGACAGATCAAGAAAAGCGTGGCAAAACTAACAAAATGTAATAACACTGAAAACTACTGGGCTATTAATTTCTAGGAAAGCGCGTAGGCATTGCAGCTTTGCTAACAGGATAGCGAATTTAGGACAAGACACATTGAAAAATGCGACACGTTCAAAATGCTCTTTACTTTATTACAACGTAATTGGTTATCCCTCTCTTCCTTTTTCTTCATATTTTTCAATCTGTCGGTGGCAATTAGTCAATATCAATTTCATGGATGGTGACGTCACCGGCCACTTTCATTGACTTGACCCCCTGCACGTCATGGCGGTGGTTGTAGTCGATCACGTGGTGTCCATCCACCTGCACACGCATGCACTTCCTCATGCACAAGATGGTAACCTGGGCGGTGGAAACAAACCAGCCCCGAGAGGGTTATAATTAGGCTGAGCACAACCCACATCTTCATTGTTAATGTCTGAAACGAAGTGTGTCTCATGCGAGTTTTCTGCTTGTTCTGATGTCTGTCACGGTCTCAAGTAAAAGAAAATAAGCCCTAACGCTGGTATTTGGCCCGTTAGTTTTCTCACGTGAAGTTGCTAACTTAAGGGGGAGAGGCATAGGGGTACATGTCCTTCCCCCACTCGAGGCCTGTGCCCCTTCAGCCCGCTGACAGCTCAGAAGTTGGAAAATGAAAAGGAATCTGGTGATGGTCCCACTTGGTCAACTGTGCCTGAACCCACTGAGTGTAAAATCAGGCCGCCCTTGTGCCCACCTATAAAATGTACCCTAACACGTCACTGCTCCCATGTGCAATTCTGAATGTGTAATACATTTCATGCTACTTACTCCACCATCCACTTAAATGTCTCGACAAATACATCTCAAAAACTACCGGATAATATCAACAAAAAGCTGTTTATGAGAAAGGGGAGGGGCTTCATTCCCATATGACTGTCATTCAACGGCAGCAAAACCCCTAACACTAACGATTCAGGTAGGCCTAATCGATGTTAATTATAAAATGCTGGAGCCTATTGCTTATAAGTCCTACTGATGGCTTTATTGCCCAGTCAAAATGCTCACCTCGTGCGTGCCATCGGGCGCAAAGGGAAATGCACCGTCCCTCTCCTCTCCTCCCCAATTCCCGCCAGACAGGGAGTTGCGCACAATGACGCGATCTGGGAACCGTGGATTGAAGTGCAGGGCAATATCATCCTGTTGGGGACCGAAGTAAGCTCCATTCAGGTTGATGGCAAACCTGTGAGATAGCAAAGTGTCGATTGTGTTGAGACGTAAAGGTAATGACAATAGTAAATTCAGAACCCTTTTACGTTTGGAGGGCCAAAATGTGGGGGGTTTTTTTGGGGCGGGGCCGGGGGATTCGAAAATTTTATTTAATCTCTTATGGCCTACTGAGGACCTTCGTCACATGTAGGGGATTTTTACACACTGATAAAAGGGTATGAAATAGCTAAAGAAATCTCCGCTCTCTCCTTATGACAAATTGTGATAATATTTTTCATGGTGGAGCAATTATTTGCCACTATTCTTTCACAATTTCACTGGTGTCATTTCAAACTTATCTATGACAAGCAAAATCGGCCATGACCCCTTCCCGGCGCAGAGAGCACTACAGTCTCGAAAGCACTTTGTATTGTACATGGCGATTTACTTAATAAACACCACTAGTGTGCTCGGTCTCGTATTACGGTCAAACTTAAACTGTATTTGAACCCTAAAAATGTGATTTATAGATTTTAATTAATTTCGTTTCTCTAATCGGCACCGATCTTCACCTGTTAGGATCAGGGTGCACAGTCAGCTTCACCGTGATCATTGTGCCGTATTGCAGGCCAGATGCTCCGATTGGGCCAACGTAGGGAGTCGGCTACAAGAGGAAGCAGAAGAAAGTGTTTGGTGGTGAAAGAGGCCACAATAGCACTATGGAGGGAAGGTGGCAGGTTGCTGGTTGTAGCGAGTTTGTTTCTGCATTCAACTGGGTCATAGTCCCTGATTGGGTTACGATCACTGACTGGAAAGCCATGTACAAATCCGGCAAGATCCCCTTCAAACAAGTTATGCCCAAACAATATGAGAGCAACGGGACTTCCGCAACATTGGAGGTATTTACACACTTGCATTGTCACCTGTAGGCATGCCAATGGTGCATGTGATTATGGTAGTGCTGGTCGTGTGATGCTGGTGTACTGCTGGTAATGATGACGACGATGAAGAGGTGAACAGGAACATGAAGAGGGAGTGACAGCGATTACAATGTCAAAGATAATTGGGCATTCATGGTGGAGATCATCTTTTCTGTTTTGTGGGATTTTCCCCATTCAGGCCTATGGTCATTATTTCCTCCAGCTCGTATGGTATGAAACACTCTGACCTGAATATCGAACACTTACCGGATCATGAATGTGAATCCCCGACTGTCCGAGTAGGAGTGCCTAAAGCCAGCGTTGGAACAAGAAAGTTTAATCAGAAGGGTTAATCTTTCCTAGATTCAAAATTTAAAAAAATAATTAGCCACCGACAAAATATAATGGAAAGTTAACGTCTAAATCTTCATGAAGCTCCAAATATAGGTGAACTGTATATGTGTCACTACTATATATCCAAGGAAAATGGTCATATATTATGTTCTTTCAGAGGCAGAGGCTAAAGGTCCATTTTGAAAGGCCCATACGGGATAGGAGCCGGTCTTTTCCAAAGGAGGCAGGTCAGGAATGGAATGTGGGCGGTGAACAGATCTTTATCTTGGGAAATTCCTCAACGACGTAGAAAGATACTCAGCTAGCTACAATAACAACTTACAGCGGAGGGTGGATGAAAACGAATGCTCGAAATCTCGACGTCACCTGCCACGGCAACGGCTTTTATCTCCTGCAGGTTAACGCGATGCTTGTAATCCAAATAGTGACGGCCATTAACTGCCACCTTTGAACACGCAAAACATGCATGTCACTTAGCATCTCTAATGTTACAAATCAATGTCCCAATGTCATTGAAAACGGTTACTCTCTCTCCATCTAATCACAGCATTCCATGCATTCTTTCAAGTTAGCGCTGAATCTATTGAAAAGCCAACCTCCGAAAATATTTCTGTGAGTTTACGCAATTTACTTAAAGACTGACGGCTTTTATACTGTAACGGACAATTGTATAGCCTTTTTCAGGTTTTTTGCCATGTTAATCTTTCGTACGCCGCCGGCGGCGCTGAGGGCCGCCGGCGGCGTGGGGGCGTTGTGGTTTGGCGGGCGCGGGAGGGAAATTGGAAAAGTGCCAGGGCGGCCTTAGAAACTGTTATACATTGTGATACATGCTGTGTTTTTGTAGAGCTCGAGTGTCACGTAAGCAGTTGTTGTTGTTGTTCTGACGGCCGTTTGGAAGGTCGTGCACCGAGTTTGGTGAATAAAACAAATAAATTCGTTTTGGAAGTCCTGTATCTGCCCCCCTCTTTTGCGTTACCGGGTTTTGAGGGAAAATAGCACCCAGGTCTACGCTACAATACTATACGTGCGATTAGTTATTTTACCGTGTTATGTACACTCTCACTACAGCGGAAACTTATAATGTTGACAAGAAAACATGTTTTGCCCGAGTTTCTGTGACGACCGACAAATCACTTGTCAAAGGAACGAGTTTTCATCTTGTCAGTATGATCATTTAGTTTTGCCCTTCACCAGCCTAATGTATTATTCACTGTGTTTTCAGTGTTTCCGAGAGCTTATGAAGAAAATAGGATAGTTAGTTCGAAAGCAGTTAACTGTTAATGAAATTTGTCAACATCTTGTTTGCATGAAAAAGGGCACTTTCCGTTTTCCACCAACAAGAGCTACACCTGTAGTTTCGTTTCATTGTAATAATCTTGTGTTGTTTTTCCACTCTGAAAAAGAATAGTTCTTGTCATCGTGACCAGAAATCACACATGGAATGCTTTCACTGCAAATACGTTGATTTTATGATACTACACCCCCTTTACATGCAGTTGTTGCTCATGGGGCCTTTAAGCATTTCAGTTCCTCTTGCATCACATCTTGTCTTGAATGCGCTTTCATTGTAGTTTCTTTCTTTCAGTCAGTCGGTCGGTCAGTCAGTCAAAGTTTTCTTTTTCACCTTAAACTCATCCCCCTCGCACAGGATGACGAGTTCGAAGGTTTTTCCCTGGTCGAAAGGAAAGTTGTCTTGGTGACGCTCTTCAGACTGCCAACTCCCGCCCGTCTTTGTGTTGCAAACCACGTAGTTCTGGCTCCCTTCGAAGCGGGGATTGAAGTGAAAGGCGACATCGGCTACACCAGTGCCAACCTCACTCTGAAGATTCACGTGAAACCTACACAACCATCATATTTATAGTCGTTGGAGGAAAATATTATCTACATTTTTCTGTTTTGGTTAGCAAAGGAGAAAAAACTGCCCCATATAGTTTGGGACTTTTATGTGACTCTAAATGAAACGAGACAAGGGTTTAATGAACGTCTTTTAACAGTACAAAGACAGCTTATGCAAGTAGTACACAAACAAAGCTTGTGTTTTCAAAAATCCAACAACGACTACGGAACAACGACGACAGCAACAACAAAAACGACAACGACGACGACGACAACAACAACAAAAACATTACTCCACTTTGTGTTCGTAATCATCCAAGATAAGTACTGTTTCACATACTGTTTGTAAAATAAACTCATATTGGCCTACAGTTTTAATCTAGCGACCCAATGAGAAAACAGTCTCGTAGCCAAGGTACTAGACACCCCTTAGAAAATAGACTTTCATCCCGTTCCAGTTAATGAAAACAATCATAGACTATGACAAGACATCACTATTTTGCTTCCAGGGTCCTCCTGCTTTTAATTAAAAATATTTGCAATCCGTTGCATTCTGCCAGTCTATAAATAATCCTCACATACAGCGCACTGAGAATGCTGTCTAGAAGTCGGTTTGCAGATAATTCAACTTCCGAGAAAAATGAACATGAACCCCAACGCATGACTGTTGGGTTTACAGCATTATTGCACTGCACATGCATGTTTGCTCCAGACATTCTTTTTGTAATGCTGCATGCCGCGCCTCGCGTAGGCTGTTACATGCATTTCGTTCTCGCGCGTTGCCGCCTGATATTGGTTCCGTATTTCTCATACCGGGATTTCCCCTCACGCTCAGAACGTCTGACCCGCGTACCCTTTCCGCGAGATTTTGTTAGGACGGATAAGCGGCCCTTTGCTGCCGTAATATTATTCACATTACACACAGCGCATAATGATGTTAATGTACATGTACAATGTACGTTCCTCGGACTTTGTGCTCAAAGTTCATTGCGCATACGAAGATTAACATACGAATGCAGCATGTAAGGACGATAGCCTGGTTTCTGCCTGGAATATAATACTTTCCACGGAAAGGAAAACTGGAGTAGAATTTAAAGGTGTACACCGGCCCGGTATCGTAAAAAGTCCACGTTTTAGATATTTCCTTTGCATTTCACAAGTTTGGGTAAAATGAAAACAACCTGATGTTTTAGTTACAGAGAAACTATTAGAGGAATCGATTATGGTGACAGCCATTTTGAAGTATTTCTAGCAGTGATCTTTGGAGAGTCTTTAGAGACAGCCCACTCCAATCACGAAGCTGAAATAACAATGACTGATCCAGTCTGCCGCTTTGACTTACAGCTCTGTAAAAAACATTTCCGCCCAAAACACATGGAAAATTGATTCGCATCTTCCAAGTTGGTATGCTGCAACGCAAGTTCTTCCGGTGCTGATGTTATCATACACAAAGCTCTGGACTGAGAATGACTCAGGGATCTACATGTAGGTCGGAACGAGAAATCCCTTCTGAATTCCCTTGTATATGCCACACACTTAAGCCCTAATTTAACTGAACACGGTCTAATACTCTTCTGAATCGTTCTTTTTCACACTCTACAGACTAGTTTGAACCAGCAATATTGAAGAAATTATCGTAAATTATGGCAGACAGAAGACAACTCGTAGGGGACGGATAGGTAAAACAGAGTTGACAGAAGAGGAGTGGAAAAACAGTGATTGAAAGAGAGATGGGAGAGCATGAACATGAAGGGTCTGAAGAACTGAGATGTAAAAAGTGTTGTCTGACGCCAAAGAGAATATTGTTGTGACTTATTTTGCAAAATGAAACACGCTACCACGTGACATTGGTGTAATATGAATATGAATGATAATCTTCCCCATTTTCAACGACTACTCAATACCAGAGAAATTACTGCATGTATGACCCTGCACAATAATTTGTTAAAATGTTCGAATTCTCATGGGCTCACCTGTCACTATGTGAAGGCACGGATCCTCGTATGTAGATGGTCTTGCTGGGGAAATATCCACCAGGAATCTGCTCGCTGTATGGAACATCCTATTTGGAGACAGTAATGGTCATGGTCATCAAAAAAAAAACTACTTTGAAAAACGAACGGTGAGGGAGTGGTGTTGTAAAGAATAAAGCCTGCACGGGGCAATTTCAGTTTAACCACTGAAAAGAGTCCCGTTCAATATTAATGGCTGCACTAAGATTAGGTCTACAGCCGTTATCCAACAACGTTTAAATTGAACACTATATTGGACCAATATCTGGGGCCTTGTATCAAAGTCCCTGTCAAGGTCCCCTGAAGTAAAATTGATCAAAAATTGGACAATTGTGTCCACAAACCAAGGCGCCTGACGACTGCTAGTGACTGTTGATGGACGTCCAAGTTCCCCGTCCCAATGACTTTGAAGCCTCCTTATACATATTATCCCGCGCGCCCGTTATGACAAATCAGGCGATGATCTAAATTCGGGACAAGTCATTAGCAGAGCAACAAACATGGCATCACTGATTGAGTGAGTGATGTGTATAAACAATCTCTTACTTATACCAACATGAATTAATTAGCAAAATACAGTGAATATTTACCGGATTTGTCACTACGTCCGACATGATGCCCTGAATTTGATCACACCTCCCCTAATTAAAAAAATGACAAAAGAAGTTACCGTTTTGGTGTTGGATATTAATCTTGAAGACAAAACGACGCACAAGTTATGAAATCGAATGACAAGTTTAGTGCTCGAATCCAAATATAACTGGGCATTCAATTTGAAACGGATTTGCCAAGAAAGTCGTACATGTATATGTTTTGGTTTCTCAGAATACAGCCCATAACGGAGCAATCACACAGTAATACTGCGCCGGAAGGATTGGTCATTTCCAAATAGGAATTAGTTAATTAAAGGTGTATGCCAAATTTTGATGGTAACTTGACAAACCACGAAGAAATAAAATTTCAAAGACACTTCGCCTACACTTTGAAAGTAGATGTTAGAATCAAATAAAAACATCGTGTACGAAAGAACCGTACGGAGGAAAACAAAACCCTCAAACTCATACAATGAAAGTCCCGTGTGCATGGGGAAAACACTAATTGTGTTGAAAAACAGCAAGAACGCAGACGAAAAAAGAAACTTGACACGATTTGACGGTAAGGATGAAAACTACTCATGCCGTACGCAGCGGGATGTTTGTGCTACATTTTCAACTCGGCTGATATGTATTTATAACTTCTGTTTTTTACCAAGATTAGGTGGTACTGCAAGGGCATCCGAGATTCCGCTGGTGACAACATCAAATACTGTTTTTAACGCGTTTTTCTTCTAAGAACTTGAAACTAGATACAACTATCTGTCCTTTTCATTTGTACAAACAAGTGTGACGTTATGATATGGCGCCTTTAAATGATTCTTGTATGATTTATTTTTTAAATATTTAACAATGTTTGTTTCCAAACTCTTTTTGTAAGAACCTGATGATTCTGGTAAATCGTGTAAAGTTCCGTGTTTATTTGGAAAGTGCTCAACCTGAAACCATACTGCCGTGGTAACAAGTAAACGATTAAAAAAAATTGGCCCGCTTACTTATTAGACATGTCGAATCGATTATAGTACATGACCTGACTGTAAAAGTGCACCCTTCAAAGGTCGTTATTTGCAGAACTCTCTTCTTGTCACATCCTGAAAACTCAGCTTGAAATCAGATTGAAAGCTGGTATACCTTCACAGGCAGGGGGGCGTCAGAGGTTTGTAATGTTTTATTAATGGCGGTCCTGTTTCACGTACACCTTAAAGTTACACCCACCGTGACGGGCCACTATACCCTGGAAAGTACGCTTGCACGAGACTAAAAAAAATTCCCTTTCGAGGCAGGGTTTGTTACACCATGATTACAGGTTTAGGTGTATATATTAAAGAAAAATGTAACAAATCAAACTCTGTTCACATAATATGCTATTTTGCATCAAATATCATCAACTATTGTCCGATCACCAAGTTGTCACTAAAACAAAAACGAAGCTGTTGTTATCGCCTGAAAACTTACATCCTGTGCGGGGTCTT